TGGTATGTGGCAAATTAGAGGCCATTAGATTTGGGATTTTTTGTTAGTTTTCAAATTATAATTTTTTGTTGTATTTTTGGCGAATTTTGCCTTTGGCTTTGATGTGATACAATTTTAAAAAAAAATCAAAATTCCAAAAAACCGAAATCTTGAACACCTCTACTTTCTTATATTCAATGAACACTCTAACAAAAGAACGAACAAATATTTCATCGTAATTAACAACAAACAACTCTCTTCAACAAGATTTTTCTTCTTTTTTTTAAATTACAAATTATCCCCCAAAACTCAAAAAAAAAAAAAATCATACGTTTAAATCATTTACACAACGAATGATCAAGGTCACGTCTCTCACCAACACAAACATTTTTTGTTTTTTTTTTCCTTCTCTGAGCACAAGGATTATTTTTCTCTTTCTTTCTTCCCAAGTCACCTTCGTTTAGCCAATTGAAACGATTTCTTCAAGAACTGATTAGCAACACGGTCGTTTCTATGACAAAGAACCCTCAAGATCGTGTTCGGATCCGACCGGTTCCACCTTCCTGTAGTCGGAGGCATCGGTAGCTTCTGTCCGGAACCAACCATCCCAATACCACTTGTTTCGCACGTCACAATGCTAAAATCTTCCATAAGTTGTTCTGTTGGTTGACTCATTAGCTGAATCACTCCTTCCACTGTCTCTGCTTCTCTATCCACAACTTCTTCTGGTATCAATCCTTCGCCGCAAGTGCAAAAAACCCTCTTCAAATTCTCGAAATCTTCTTCGATCAGACTATGATCCGACCGGTAAAACACTCGTGAGTAACCTCCAGCTAAGAGAACCATCAAGAACGCTTCGAATGACGACTTCATAACCTCTCTCATCGCCAATGCTTGAGCTCGATCCGCGAGGATCGCTGACATTAATGTCAAGTTCTGTTTCATTGTCCTTAAAGCTGGTCTGATCCTCGCGTTCGCGACCTCTCCTACGTATAGGCTCTCGTATAAAACAGAGTTTGAGTCGAGGAAAATCAATCGGTAAGCCGCCACTTCTGAAACGTGTTGGCAAGCGGATTCGATTCCAGCGTATGTGAAATCGAAGTAAGAAGACGAATTGTTGTTGTTTCGATGGCGGTAGCGTTTTCGGGTCGCGGGAAGTACTTTCGGGTTTAATGAGAGTGTTTTGTTTAAAGAATGGATATGTGAGCTTAGGAAATGCAATGTGTTAAGACGAATGTAGAGACGCTGAGTCCCGCGGCTTGTCGATGGTCGCGGATGGTGACCATCGGAAATCGCTGGCGCGGTGTGGCTGAATTCTTCTCTAGAGACAGTACACGGTGTAGCTCGTTTCCATAGTTTAACGAATCTTGAATCTCTGTTGCATCTTGTAAGAGGAGGTAATGTAGGAATGTAACTCTGTCTTGAACCTGAATCAAATTAAGATTATTACGGTGTTTTTTTCGCGAATTTAGAAGATGGATTTTGAATGTTTTTTCCGCTTACCGCAAGATGCGACGAATGTTGTGTATTCTTGGAAAAGTTGTTCTAACCCTTCAGCAAGATCATGAACTAGATCCTCTGTAATTCCGATAGGGATTTCGAAGAACTCATCGATTGTATCTTTCGCTAGCTTCATCATTTCTCCTGCGGACTGCGCGTAAGGTTCCGATTTGGACTTCGGGTTCCATGTCTACAAAGAATACAGAAACATAAGTTAAGTAATGTTTTTTTGGATTACAAGTAAAATCTTGAAAACTTACTTCTGTCTCCTTTGCTCTAAACAAACATTCTTGAACTTTCTTCAACTTCTCTTCGATCCATTGCCTTAAAAGCCGCAATATAATCGAATCAACTTCGTAAGGAACCATCTCTCGAACCAGTCCTTTTCCACCGTCATCGCATTCTTCTGAATCTTCAGCCACCATTTGCACTAAAACCTTCTCAAGCTTCCCTGCTATCTGCAAAACCTCAACAGTATCTCTCGAGATAAACGATCTTCCTGCCAAATATTGCATCAAGATCGAGCCGTAACACTGATGAAGTGACACTGAAGCAACACCAGCAGCAAAAGAATGCCATCTCTTGAGTATCGGGCTGAAACATTCGCGTTCTCTTAACGCTAACTCCTCTGTTTCTTTAGCTAACTGCAACAATGTCGCTGCTGCTTCTTCTCCTTCCTCTGTTGCTGCCATCTTCGCTTTCGTGTTCTCTATCACCTGCAAACAAAAGAAACTTCAGAAACCCTAAAAGGATGTAGATAAAACCAAAACCATTTTCTCTAGTTGAATATACCTTAGAAAATGCGTTTTTGATAGACGCTCTAATGTAATAATCGACGCGATCTCCTGAATAATCGACCAATTTTACATCGCCTTTCTCTTGTCCTTTCCCTTGAGAAATTGTCACATCTTCTCCTAAGATTCTTGATGATGATAATGCCAATGGTAGAAGATTCTCTATCAATCCAACATTGCCTCTTTGGAAATAATCATGGTAGCTCAATAACCTATAACAAACCACAACCATAATCAGATTCTTGAAATTGTAATTGTCTTTGGCTATATCAAGATTGTCCATTAATTACCTTTTCTCGGTCCATCCTTGCATAGAGGCTAATGTCGAGGTCAAGAGTTTTACATAGAGAGCTTCGCGGTCAAGCTTCTTAGCGTCATTAGCAACTTCAGCTAGCATAGCGTGAGAGGCGCCGAGCAAGTCCGGTTCCATTTGTGATGTCACGACGTATTGATGAAACAAAATCCAAGTGAAACATAGATTATGTATCGGTCTTGTGATTCCTAGTGTAGACCAAGTCTTCTTCATTAGCTCTAGAAGCTCATCGATCTCATCGAGCACCAATGTCTCGTCCCTGACATCGAATATCGACTGTAACAATGCTACGTAAAGATGGATGTTGAGAGGATAACCATCAGCCCAGTGACAAACATCGGTCAGGTTTCCATTAGTACTACGCCAAGATAAAGAGACTACGACATTGCAAAGTGTTCTCATTGTATCTGAGTTTTTGCTTGTGTCAATGGATTTGTTCTCGCTTTGTCTAACGATTTCCCTTAAACGCATTGCGTAGTTATTGGTTTTGTCTAGAGGAATCGATGGATGAAGGAGAAGACCAGCTTCAAGGACTTTGAGTTGTCTTCGTTGCCAAAGCTGGTACTCATGTGCATCGCCAAACTCTGATGTTTTCAGGTGCCGGAGAAGCTCTAACGGCAAGATTATCGTCTCTGCTCGTCTACCAGTCTAGAGATTAAAGAGAAAAAACCAACTTAAGTTATGGTTTAAGGCATTTCAACGTTTTTCATTAACGTGTATAAGAAGGAAGCAAACAATTCTGACTTACTTGACCGACAAGAGTCCTCAGTAGGGTTTTCCGAAGCCGACTATCACTCTGTTCTGTCACCCTCATTTGTTGCCTCATGATCTCCGCCGAGGTTAAAGGCCTTCTAGGCCGAGAAGCCGGGACCGTCAAGAACCCGGCTCCAGGGCTAATGTGGCCTGATCCAGTACTCATTCCGCCACCAGGAGACAATGAAGTTGTCCCAGCTCCTCCAGCCGCTCCTATTGTCGACATTCGCCTAGACGGAGACCTTTTAAGCATCTTTAAGCCCAATGCCCGTTTCACGCGGCTTGTCGGGGTTGTCACCACCTCTTTCCTCCCTGAAGACCCAAATCCGGGACCATGTGAGCCGCCGGATCCTATTCCTCCTCCTCCGTCTCCATGATGGTCGTTACCGTTATGCGAAGAGTAGAACGTAAGAGCGGTCCGGCCTCCAAACCCCGGTGATGACCGACAAGCCGTGAAGAAGATCTCATAAGCTGTTTCACGGATATCTTCCCGGTCAAGCCCATCAAGCTTCCCAAATGGCCAAAGAAGGTCGGTATTAGGACAAATCACCACGGAACCACCTCCCATGTTGGAGATGGTTACCGAGAAAGACTCCCGCCGGTGATGATGGGTCATGGCGGAGGAGGAGAGAGGGAGGGGTGGAGGCAAAGTTTTGGACGAGAGATTTATGTAATTAGATTGTCCAAT